AGCAGCAGCAGCAAGAGCAGCAAGAGCAGCAGCAGCAGCAGCAGCAGCAGCAGCAGCAGTAGACTTCGTGGCCTTGCTGGCCGTTCCCTTCGTAGCTGAGCCTCCTGAAGCAGCAGCAGCAGCAGTTGCTGCAGCAAGAGCAGCAGCAGAGCAAACAGCTCTAACAGCAGCAGCAGCAGCAGCAGCAGCAGCTGTAAGGACAATGGGGCAGCAGAAGAGGCCGAGGAGCTCGGCCGACAGCAACGCAGCAGCAGCAGCAGCAGCAGCAGCGCCGGACGGGAGCAGCAGCAGCAGCTCAGCGCCCGAGGCACAGGCCGCTTCGCAGCAGCAGCAGCAGCAGCAGGACGGAGCAGCAGCAGCAGGAGCGGGAGCAGCAGCAGCAACGTTTGCTTCCTTGGGCCTGTGTCGGGAGATCTGTGCAGCAGCAGCAGCAGCAAAGTGGGAACACCCCACAGCAGTGCAGCAGCAAGTAATTCCGTTGGCGCTGCAGCAGCTGCAGCGGCTGCGGGGTGTACATACAGTGGAGCAGCACGACGTAATTGCTGTTGCTTCTACAGGCAGCGGGAAGACAGGGGCTTTCGTGCTGCCGCTGCTGCAGCACTTGCTGCAGCACGGCAGCAGCAGCAGCAGCAGCAGCAGCAGCAGCAGCAGCAGCAGCGGCGGGAGCGGGCCGTTTGCGGTGATTCTGGAGCCGACGCGGGAGCTGGCGCTGCAGGTGTTCGACTGGGTGCAGTCGCTGGCAGCAGCAGCAGCAGCAGCAGCAGCAGCAGCAGCAGCAGCAGCAGCAGCAGCAGCAATTCGAGGCTGCTGCTGCGCACTCGTCGGCGGAGTGGACTTCAACCTCCAAACCCTAACCCTCGCGAAGAAACCCTCAGTAGCTGTCTGTACACCTGGGCGCCTGCGGGACCACTTGCACCGCACCAAGGGTTTCTCGCTCAAGAGCTGCAGGTCAAACCCTAAACCCTAAACCCTAAACCCTAAACCCTAAACCCTAGGCCCTGGTTCCCTTCCACGCCGCGCAAGGCCGCCGCGCGCCGGCGCTGCAAACCCTAAACCCTCAACCCGCGGCGCCCCCAAACTCGAAACCCTAAACCCTCCCCCAAACCCTAAACCCTAAACCCTCAGGGCCCCCAAACCCTAAACCCTAAACGCTCAGGGCCCCCAAACCCTAAACCCTAAACCCTAGCTCCGGTCCTCGAATAGCCCACAAACCCGAAGCCCAGCGCTGCGCTGCGTCCACCGTTCTCAAACCCTAAACCCTAAACCCTCGTTGAGCTGCGCCCATCTCCCGCAAACCCTAAACCCTAAACCCTAAACCCTTGCTCCACCGCAAGTAGCTCCCTAAACCCTAAACCCTCGCTGCAGCGCAAGTAGCTCCCCCAACCGCAAACCCTAAACCCTAAACCCTCACTGGCTGCAGGTATCACGGCCGAACGCTAAACCCTAAACCCTCGCTGGATGCAGCTAACACCCTCAAACCCTAAACCCTAAACCCTCGCTGCGCGCAGGTATCACCCCTAAACCCTAAACCCTAAACCCTCCCTGGGAGCACCTAGCATCCCCAAACCCTAAACCCTAGACCCTAAACACTCGCTAGGCGCAGTTAGCACCGCCAAACCCTAAACCCTAAACCCCAAACTCTAAACCCTCTGGAGGCGCAGCCAGCGCCCCCAAACCCTAAACCCTAAACCATCGCTGGGAGCCGGCAGCACCTCCAAACCCTAAACCCTAAACCCTCGCTGGGAGCACCTCCCACCCGCAACCCCTAAACCCCAAACCCTAAACCCTCGTGGGCGCAGCTAACACCTGCAAACCCTAAACCCTAAACCCTCGCTGGGAGCAGGTAGCACCCCCAAACCCTAAACCCTAAAGCGTAAACCCTAAACCCTCGCTAGGCGCAGCTAGCACCGCCAAACCCTAAACCCTGATCCCTAAACCCTAAACCCTCGCTGGAAGCACCTAGCACCGCCAAACCCCAAACCCTAAACCCTCGCTGGGCGCAGCTAGCACCCAAAACCCTAAACCCTAAACCCTCGCTGGGAGCCCCTAGCACCCCCAAACCCTAAACCCTCGCTGGGCGCAGCTAGCACCCCAAACCCTAAACCCTAAACCCTCGCTGGGCGCAGCTAGCCGGCCAAACCCTAAACCCTAAAGGCTCGCTGGGAGCAGCTGGCCCGCCCAACCCTAAACCCTAAACCCTAAACCCTAAACCCTTGCGCGCAGGTACCTGGTGCTGGACGAGGCGGACAAGTTGTTGAGTTTGGAGTTTGCAGATTTCGTCTCGGAAATAATTAGGGTTTTGCCAAAAGAGAGGTTTGGGGTTTTGTTTTCTGCAACAATGACAAAGAGTCTGCACAAACTGCACCTGGCCTGCCTCGTCAAACCCTGCAAAGTCCTAAACCCTAAACCCTAAACCCTAAACCCTAAACCCTAAGCCCTAGGTTTTGCCAAAAGAGAGGTTTGGGGTTTTGTTTTCTGCAACAATGACAAAGAGTCTGCA